GGTCGCTGACGCTCCCGGCTCGCCGGCAACTACGACGTGGGCAGCGCCTTGAGGATCGCCGCCATCCGCAACGCGGCTTCGGCGCACTCGACGCCCTTATTGCCCACGGCGCCGCCGGCGCGGCTGAGGGCTTGCTCCATCGTGTCGCACATCAGCACGCCAAACAGCACCGGCAGCGAGTGCTCGGTGGCGATCCGCATCAGGGCGTCGGTGACGCCGTGGTTGATCCAGTGGTCGTGGGCCGTCTCGCCCTTGATAACCGCGCCGAGGGTCACGATCCCCGCATAACGGCAAGTGTCGGCGAGCCGCTGCGCGACGACAGGGATCTCCCAAGCGCCCGGCACCCAAACGACATCGAGCCCCTCTTCCGCAACGCCCGCTTCCTTAAAGGTCGCGACAGCGCCGTCGGCGAGCTTGGCGGTGACGGCCTTGTTCCACTCCGAGACGACGACCGCGTATCGGGCGTTCTTGGCGGCGTCGGCGGCGGGTTCAATCACGTTCGGCATCGGGTGGCAGACTCACTCGTTGGGGCTATTCAGGGAACCACGACGACACAAAGAGCACAAAGGACGGTGAAAGGAAAGAGCCCACGAATTCCACGAATTATCACGAATCCGTTGCATAAGATTCGAGTCAATTCGTTTGATTCGTGGGCTCTTTCTTCTTCGTGTCCTTCGTGTCTTTGTGGTTCTCTTCTAGTCCTTCAATGACATCAAGAACTCCGCGTTCGACTTCGTCTTCCCCAGACGCGTTGTCAGCAGGTCCATCGCTTCGGGGGCGTTCATCTCCGAAAGGACGCGGCGGAGGACGTTCACGCGGCGGTGCTCTTCGGGGTCCATCAGCATCTCTTCGCGGCGCGTGCCGCTGCGGTCGATGTCGATGGCGGGCCAGATCCGCTTATCCACGAGCTTGCGGTCGAGGAAGATCTCTTGGTTGCCGGTGCCTTTGAACTCTTCGAAGATNNAAGATCACCTCGTCCATGCGGCTGCCGGTCTCAATCAATGCCGTAGCGATGATCGTTAGCGAGCCGCCCTCTTCGACCTTGCGGGCCGAGCCGAAGAAGCGCTTGGGGCGCTGCATCGCGTTGGCGTCGAGGCCGCCGGAGAGGACCTTGCCGCTCGGCGGGCACTCGGAGTTCCACGCCCGCGCGAGCCGCGTCACCGAATCGAGGAAGATCACCACGTCGCGGCCGTACTCGACCATCCGCTTGGCCTTCTCGATGACCATCTCCGAGACCTGCACGTGGCGGGACGGCGGCTCGTCGAAGGTGCTGGAGATGA